TAATAAAATAAAATAATGTGCTTCAAGGACAGTTTTGTTTTCTTTTGTTTTGTTTTTTCAAATTTACCTAAGCAAGACTTAGTGACAATTTGGAACAAAAGTAAAAACCCCTTAAGACAGCAAACAATGTGTCCTAGATTTTTGTTTCCATATATTTGTGATTTCTGGTAAATGTCCTAATAATGCTCATTTCTCTTTGTTTTGTTTAAGGATTGTTCAAGTTTAGAAGAATATAACATTGCTGCAGCATTACTCCCTTTGACCAGTGCTTTCTACAGGGTAAGTTTCATTGGTCTATACATAAGCTCATTATGATTCATATAAATGTATGTAGTTTGATTTATCATAAAACTACATGAATCTTGTCCCCCGGTATGTCTAACATATATCTGTAGCAATATTTATTATAACATTTATTGCATACAGTTGACCCTTGAACAACACAGATTTGAACTACACGGGTCCACTTATTTGTGGATTACATGTGCAGTACAGTACTGTAAATGTATTTTCTCATCCTTATGATTTTCTAAATAGTATTTTCTCTAGTTTACTGTAAGCATACAGTATATAATACATATAACATACAAAATATGTGTTAATCAACTTTGTGTTGTAATGCTTCCAGTCAACACTAGGCTATTAGTAGCTAAGTTTTGGGGGAGTAACAGTTATGTGTGGATTTTTGACTGCACAGGGGTCAATGCCCCAACCCCCACATTGTTCAAGGACCAACTGTACTATGTGTAGAAAATTTAATATATAATAATAAATCATCTCCTAAGAATCCCGCCATTCCAGCCCTGCTTTATTTTTCTTTATAGCTGAATTTGTACCTGAAATACCTGAAATTATATTATGCATTCGTTTGTTTACATATGAGTATTTTTCCCTACTGCAGAAAGTAAATTTCATGAGGCTAGGATATTGTCTTATAAATATTTATTGATGAGGCCAGGTTTTTTTTTTTAACTTCAGTCTGTCCACAGTCTCTGAGTTAAAGGTCTTAACCTTTAAAGGTTCTCCATAATCAGGAACTCTTTCTCTGCTGCTGTGTCACTGCATATCCCTCTTTCTTCCGACTTATTGTCCCTTCTTCTTTTAAAACAAAAAGGGGAATTATGATGTTCACACTTCTGAGAACTAGCAGGTCATACTGAACATGCCCAGGAAACAAAGACAAATCTCAAAAATACCAAACAAATGAATTTTAGGTTTAGAAACTAATGGCTGGAGCTTGAGCATCATCTTTTGGTCTTCCCTCCCCAGCTTAACCCTACCTCCAGGCCCATTCCAGTTTTCCTTCAATGAATACATACCAGCCTTCTCTGAACTCCCTCACACTTCATCTCATTCTGCTGCTAGCATGGAGAACACTGTTACAAAAATAGGCCAGGCTGTCCTGGATCCTAAGCTACCTAGGAAAGGTGTGTCTATATCTCAGAGCAGCCAGAAAACTCAGTCCTCTGTCTAACTAGCCTTTATGTAGGGCCTCACATGGCATTTGTTAAAGAAAATGGCATTTTTAGGGGCATCTGGCTGGTTCAGTTGGTTGAGCTTCTGACTTCAGCTCAGGTCATGATCTTGCACTTTGTGAGTTCAAGCCCTGCATCAGGTTCTGTGCTGACAGCTCAGAGCCTGGAGTCTCCTTTGGATTCTGTGTCTCCTTCTCTCTCTGTGTCCCACCCCGCCCCCCAGTCCCACATTTGCTCACTCTCTCTCTCAGAAAAACAAACATTAAAAAAATTTTTTAAAGAAAATGGCTCTTTAAATCTTTCCTACCTTCAACATTTAAGATATTTTTAAACTTAAATATTAGAGAAAATAAGAATTGACAAATGAAACTCAATTCCTCAAATGACCCATTGCTTATGATTTTTAAGCAGAATTATTTAACCATTTTGCAGTATTAGGGTTTGATCATGATAGCAGAAGCACCAAGAATGATATAATTAAGGAATTTATAAGGGACCAACCCTTATTTTGTTATAGAAACAAAGGGAAAGTTTGTGGAAGACTTTGAATTAGGCTTTGCCCATAGGCCTGAAGTTTCTGTAGGTCACAACACAGGGAAGAACAAGGACAAATTGGAATCTGTGTATACCTCTCACTTCTTCAAACCTCAGCGATACAGATGACCTGCAAAAGAAACAGCACTGTTGGCCATAGAGCTGCACATGCACCTGGCCCCAGGCTAGGAGAAGCTGAAGGAGATGTGGCAGGAAACGGAGGAACTGTGAGCTCAGTCCCTTCCCCATATCAACATGAGTCAGCAGATCCGGGACAAAGTATATGAGCTGTAGCAGGATATAGCATCCTGTATTGCCTTCAGAGTATAATGACTGCTGCTTCATTTTTGTCCAAATGTTAGAGAAATTTCTCTTGTGGCCAATCCTAACCCTGGAACAGAAAGACATTTCTGAGAAATGTCTTAGCTTAGCTTATTTTACACAGTGCAAAACCATCACACTGGTTTTAGTTTTGTGAGAGTTTTTAATTAGCTAATAAGTTGGGCTAAATGTCATACTATTTATCAAGTTTGTGTTATCAAACTTAGTAATTCAAATTTATGTTTTAGGGGTGGGTTTATGGGTTTAATTCTTTGTTGTTGGCTTGGTTTGATTTGCTTTAGTTTGGGCATGGATTAGGAGCCAGTGACCACACCAATAATATGAGCAGGAAAAGTTTAACAAGTTATTAAGTAGTAACAGGGGATTAACTGCCAAGAAGTAAAGAGAATTTTAAACAACACAGGAATATCAGATATAGGGAGCAGCTACTATCTCTTGGGCTCAAGCAGAGTACCCAAGAAAAGAGAAAACTTGGAAGAGGGCTCCTCCCCAACAAGACTTGTGATTCAGACATTGTTGGAGAGGTGTTGATTTGGCCGCTGGATAGCATAGAAATTCACTGAGGTGCCACAGACCAGAGCTGGTAAGCAGGAAACTACCTGCTGGGGTTCTGGCAAGACTTTCTGGGAATCCCTCTCACTAGAGTGCCAGTGAAACTTGACAGGAAGTGAAGCCACCATCTGGAGTACCACTGAAACATCACACATGGTAAGCGCTTCAGGGTGTCCCACACACCATAGCAGGTACATGCCATAGGAACTAAAGCACAAAGCACACCAGAACCAGGAAAAGAAACTACTTTCTACTGCAGTATCCCTTCAGCACCCTGTGCTGACAAAACTTAATTTTGTGCCAGATGGTAAAGGAGAAATGTTTACAAGTCCAGTGCCAATGCCACACAACAGGGCAAAGAAAGGTAGATTTGGAGGAAAGAGATACTGCATTGATAACTGACACAGAGGGTGGATCATACCAGTTCTTAGATACTTTATAAATTTTTGACTTACGGGAAATTATTTCTGGTGCATAATTCAGGAAAATTCTATAGATATAAATTGCATTATTCTGGCCACAGATTGCAAATGAGCCATGCTCAAACTGTTCAACCAATATAAACTCCTGAGCCTTGTTCATCATGCTTCAGAGAATGGACTCAGCTGTTTGTCTTACTTAAACTTACTTTGAAAATATTTTTAATGATATTTATTAGTCTTTTTTTTTCAATGCAACAGAAGTTTATTGAACATCTCAATATACAAAGTTACTATGGCAGGCAACAACATGGGCAGCCACATGAGTGAACCATTGACATGCCACTAGGAGTTTATATTAGTCTTTCTAATACAATAAATAATAAGCAAGAAATCAAACTGGTCCACAGTTCCATCAACTGGATGGCCATTTCCTTAAATAAAATATATAGCTGTGGTTAGAAAATTCAGATACTATAGAAACATAAAATGCAAAACAAAAGCTGCCTTTCCCACCTCTACCCCATATCCTCTAACAGTTGACTTCTTGGTTAAAAAAAGTCATGCATTATTGCCAGCAGATAGAATACAGATAAAATTACCTCTTTGAAACTAATCAAACTATTCAGTGTTTTCTCACCTTGCCTTTTTCACTTAGTAACATATCTTGGAGATCTTTCCATATACCTAATTATAATTAGGTATATAACACTACTACCTAATTATTTGGGGATGACTACATATATTTTTTCTTCTTAATGAAAAAATTGTGTGTATGTGTATTTACCTTAAGCATAAGAGCAAAATATTTCATTGACTCAGATGAAATATGATGTTTATCTTTTAGAGCTTTACTTTGTGTAAAAATATCCCATGATGTTTTACTTGTAACATTATCTTAGATCCTTGGGAATTTTTTATGCTACAATCACCACACATTTAGGGTTTTTTTCCCCCTTACAGTTCTCTCACTTTTCTCTACCTTTAATGAGTTGTATGTAACTCATGCTTCTTTAACTTATGAAGCCTTTCTTCAAGGTGGTACTTTAACAGCCAGGTTTAAGTTGTTAAGGATCACTTTAATGGTGAAAAATAATGTAATCATTTACATTTGTACTATGTTTAGCATTTATGTGATGCTTTCATTCTCAGTTCAGCAGACAGTTAGTAGGTGTGGCAAGCCCTGTGCTTGCATTTATTGCAGAATTGCAGGTGAATAGCACATGGTCCTCACCCTGAAGAAACATATTGTCTAAAGGCCGTTCATATTCATTAATCAGCTATGAACACAGGAACATTTCACAGTTACTGAATAACATTGGGCTATACTTGGTTTACTTATTTGGTCCTTTTTATTAAAAAAAATCATGATTGTTAAAGTAAGAACCAGAAGCAGGGGTTCCTGTCTAAATGTCTTTTTTTTTTTTGGAATAAAAAGAATTAAAGAGTAAGCTAAAACCCAACAGAGCAGAAGTAGAACTAAAATAGGATACCCTTCTATCACTCTTTCCCAATTGATAGTGAGCAATAGTGAAAGCCCTTTATCGTGAGCCACTGTGTAATGCCCTCTCCTCCGTGATCCATGTATCTTAGAGTTACCCTATTGTAGTTCTTAATCACCCAGGTAAACTAGAGACTGCCCTAGAATCTATTAAACCATGACAGATCCCTTCTTTTTACTTCTTTGAGGTGTATCGGTTGGTTACTGATGCTCAAAATGACTCCGAGAAGAACTGAGGCTTTCTTCCCTGGTACTCATTGTAGTTTGTGTTTACCCTGGGGAGGAATAGAAATACCCTGTTTATCTTAAATTCAAGCCCCCTGAAGTGATGCCTTATCAAATTCCAGAGATCTCCCATATACAGATGGCACTTTGAGTATGACTTATTGATCAAGATAGGTCTTACTTTATAAGAGCATTATTCGGTCTCTCATTCCCAATAGAAGTAGATTTATG